CTCTGGTTACTGCTTCCCTCAGAGGATTCAACTTGTTTTAAACAGTAAACCGTTTTGGTTTGATTATCATTCTTCCCAGTACAGTATTAAGTTTATCTCTTATACACTGGTACTGTAAATGTCCAGGCTGGTCGCAATTGTAACACCTATATTCTTTCTCTCATTCTGGGGAGATTTGGTAAACTTTTCCTCAGAGTTCATTTGGTTTTCAGGACTAGGCTGTACTAATTTAGCTGAGGCACCACCCTGGCCATCATTCCCTGTTGTTTTACTGTGGTACTGTTTGTTAAAAGGTTGGTTGAAGGATTTCTTATGGTTGTCCCAGGTAGGCTTGTTAACTTTTACCCCAGAGAATCTGGAGTCTTGTATTCTCTAATATGATCTGCCTGTTCACCAGCTTCTATTAGAGTTTTAGGATTTTTGTCCCTAACTAGATAATGCAATTCCCCAGGTAAAATAGAGTAAAATTGCTCTAGGCCTATAACAATTGTCATCTCTTCTAGGGAAGTAACTTTTTCACGTGTCATCCATTTGTCCAGATACTGGTCTAACTTAGGCACCAACGGAACATATGATGCTTCAGGCCTTTTAATAAAGGTACTGAGATGTTCTGCATTTATGCAATATCTGGAAAATACAATTTTTCTATCAGCTTCAAAATCTCTAGCCTGTTCTAGGGGAATCTGCACGCTCAAAAGCGATAAGAAAAGATTCAGAACAGTCCCCTTTCTTATATTGGGGAAATTTCTTAAGATCAATTTTAGGCAGAATTCTTTCCTGGGAGCTGTTGTTCTGGTTGTTATTTTGAGAGGTTATTTCTAATTGTCTCATTTGTGTTTGAAAATCCATCTCTTTTTGTCTCAATTCCATTTCTCTTTGTCTACATATTTTCTTGTTCAAATGCCATTTGTCTGGCCTCTTGGTCAGATTTGAGCTGTAATTCTTTAAACTTGAATTCCTGTAGTAACCTCGATTTTTCACACTCTTGAAAGCTTCGGACACCTGGTCTTTCTGAGGCACTTGAATTCCTGTAGTAACCTCCATTTTTCACACTCTTGAAAGCTTTGGACACCTGGTCTTTTTGAGGCATTTTCCTCAGTCTCAAACTGCTCTCCTGTGGTTAAAGGGTCTCCATTTCCCTCCCTTTCCTGAGGTACCAAAGTTTGTGCCTCTTGAAACTCAGTTTCCATTGTTACTGGACTTTTAGTTCCTTTGGAAGGCATTTTTATCTGAGTTACTTATTCTGGTATTTCTACTGATTTTATAATGGACCTGTCTTCCTTCTTTTACTTCCAGTCACTGAAATGATTTCTATTTCAAGCCAAGGCTTTCTCTTCTCTTCCCTCAGA